CAGGCGGCCAGGCCGATCAGGCGGGTTGCTGAAGCATGCGTCCTGCATGCATCACGAGGAAGTCATGAGCGACACGGCGATTCCTGAATAAATCTCCGGGAAATCCACAGCGAGACTGTGATTCCTTGGTGTCGAAGGCGCGGCGTCAGAATAAATCGCGGGGAAGTCCCACGCGAGAGCGCGATTCCGGTATAGATTACGACGAAGTCCCGCGCAAGAGCGCGAATCTGGAATACATTGTGAGGAGGTACCAAACGGGAGCAGTTGTTGTTGTTGCTGCTGTTGTAAATCAGGGGCCAGGGGCCATGTTTGGTGACCCCAGTCACCTTCACCTGAAAAAAAAGATAGGACGAGCCCTGGAAGAAACACTTCACACTTCAACTTAAAAACGGAATGGTTACCGGAAGGGGAGGTTATTCGTTTGAAATGCAACGACAACAACAATTGTCATGTTAAGACCGTTCGCTCTTACCTGCTTGCGTGCCACCGAACACGTATATCCCAAACCCTTGGTACCCGCCCACTTCGTTTTCGATCGTACCTCCTTGGGTGTATGTCTTCCATGCCTGCCGCGTGTAACTGGTGAAGCCCCTGAAACAATGGAAAAGAGGACGGATGGAAGAGGGAGGGAAAAGGATGGAGCACGGGATTAGCAGGAGGAGGCTAGGAACAGAAAACACATGGCAGAACCAAACGGGCCAATCGGGCGGGTAGACCCTAACGGGCGGGTCGGGAAGGCGGGCCTAGGCGACCAGGTCGAGCAGGCGAGTTGCTGAAGCGTGCGTCCTGCATGAATCGCCAGGAGAGCTCGAGCGATAGCGCAATTCCTATGTAAATCCGGAGAAAGGCCAGAGCGACGGCGTGAGTCCTGGGTGTCGAGGGCCCAGCGTCAGAATAAATCCCCGCGACTTCCCACGCGAGAGCGCAATTCTTTCATACATTGTGAGGAAGTTCCGCGCGAGAGCGCGATGTTGGACTATCTTGGGAGAAAGAATCAGGCGGGAGCCGTGATTGTTCTAGTTCGGGCCACCCTCGCTTCCCCTGTTTTATACAAAAACCAAGTGCGAGCCTCGAGTGGGAGCACTTTTATCTGAAAAATGCAATGGTGACCGGAAGGTGGGATCAGCAATGACTGTTTTTTTTTTTTTAAGGCAGCTCAACACCAGAAGCAATAACCACAGCAACGACGTCAGCAACAACACCAAACAACACAACACCAACAGCGACAACAACAACAACAACAACAACAACAACAACAACAACAACAACAACAACAAAACATCAACAACAACAACAACAACAACAACAACAACAACAACGACAACTCAAACAAACAAAACAACACCAGCAAATACAGCAACAACAACAACACTAGCAGTAGCAACAACCACAACAGCAACACCATCAGCAACAACGACAACGGCACCACCACCAATGCTAACAACTACAACCACAACATCATCAACAACAACACAAAAACAACAACCACAATAGCACTCATTTGAAGACGGTTCGTTCCTATCTGCTCGCGTGCCATTCAACGTATATCCCAAGCCCTCGGTGACCGCCCTCTTCGTTTTCGATTGTACCTCTTTGGGGGTGTATCTTCCTTACCTGCCACGCGCTTATAGCGCCGTCCCTGAAACAGCGAAGACAGGACAAATGCCAAGGGGAGGGAGGAGGATAGCACACGAGAGAAATTAGCAGGAGGAGGCCTAGGAACACAAAAGCATGTGGCAGAACCAGACGGGCAGATTGGGCGGGCAGACCCTATCAGGCGGTTCGGGAAAGCGGGCCCAGGCGGCCAGGTCGAGCAGGCAGGCTGCTGAAGCGCGAGACCTGCAGGAATCGCGAGGAGAGCTCGAGCGATAGCGCGATTCCCAAGAAAATCGTGCAAGAGAGTGATTCCTGAGGGCGCGGCGTCTGAATACATTGCGAGGAAATCCCATGCGAGACCGCGATTCCTGGAAAGGTTGTGACGACGTCCTGTGCGAGAGCGCGATCTTGGAATACTTGATGCGGAAGTACCAGGCGGGAGCCGCTGTTGCAGCGGGGGGGAACAATGTAGTTTGAGCAGGAGGGCCTTCCCTAATGAAAAACAAGGTGCGGGCCCCGATAGTGCCAAACACAATGTTCACCGGCGGGAGATCAGCAATACTTGCTCTTCGAAAAATGAAACTTCAGCTACAACACAGCACCGACAAACATTTTCATGATGTTCACTCCAATCTGATCGCGCGCCACTCAACACGTATATCCCGAACCATCTGTACCCGCCGCCTTCGCGCTCGATCCTACCCCTTTGGGGGTCTATCCTCCTTACCCGCCAAGCGTGTTTAGCGAAGCCCCTGAAACAGCGGAAGAGGGGACGGATGGAAGGGGGAGGGAAAAGGATGGAGCACGAGAGCGATTAGCAGGAGGGGGGCTAGGAGCAGAAAACACGTGGCAAAACCCGATGGGCAGATCGGGCGGGCAGACCCGAAACGGCGGGTCGAGAAGGCGGGCCCAGGTGGCCAGGCTGAGAAGGCTGGTTGCTGAAGAGTGGGTCCTGCAGGAATCGCCAGGTTTCGAACGATAGCGAGATTCCCAACAAAATCGTGATAAAGGCAAGAGCGGTTGCGTGATTCCTGAGTGTCGAGGGCACGGCGTCTGAATACGCTGCGAGGAAGTCCCACGTGAGAGCGCGACTCCTGCATAGATTGAAAGGAAGTCCCGCGCGAGTGCCGTTGCTATTGTTGTTGTTACTGCAAGTCCGGGGCCAGGAGCAAAGTTTGGTGACACCCGGTTTTCCCTTGAAAAAACAGGTTGCGAGCCCCAGGAAGAACACTATGATTAAACATATGCACTGGTCACCGGAAGGGGGGGTCTACAACAGTTAGCACTAAAAACTGAAGATTCAACAACAACAACAACAACAACAACAACAACAACAACAACAACAACATCAATAACAATAACAACAAGACACAGCAACAGCAACAACAACAGCAACACCACCGACAACGGCAATCATTCGAAGACTGTTCGCTCTTACCTGCTCGCGTGCCATTCAACACGTATATTCCACACCCTCGGTACTCGCCCCGATTTCGATTGTACCCTCTTGGGGCATACCTCCCTTACCTGCCGCATGAAATTGGCGCAGCCCCCTGAAACAGCGGACAACAGAAATAATGTAAAGGGGAGGGAGACTAATAAAACACAGGAGAGAAACTAGCGAGAGGGGGCCTAGGAGCACAGAAACATGTGGCAGAACCCGATGGGCAGATCGGGCGGGCAGACCCTAGCGGGGAAGACGGGCCGAGGCGGCCAGGTCGAGCAGGCGGGCTGCCGAAGCGTGAGTCCTGCAGGAATCGCAGGGAGAGCTCGAGCGATAGCGCGATTGCCAAGTAAATCGTGAGAAACGGCCAGAGCAAGAGCGTGAGTCCTTGGTGTTGAGGGCGCGGCGTCTGAATAAATTGCGAGGAAGGTCAACGCGAGAGCGCAATTCTTGCATACATTGTGAAGACGTCCCGCGCGAGAGCGCGATGCTGCAATACGTTGTGCCGCAGTAACGGCGGGATCCGTTGTTGTCAAGATTGCCCACATGAAAAGCAGGGTGCGAGCCCCGAGGGGGTCATTTCAAAGAGGAAGATAACATGCTTACCGGAGGGGGTGATCAACAATCATTCTTCATGAAAAAAGAGCATTCAATGACGACAATAAGTTTAGACTGTTGTCTCCTATCTGCTCGCGTGCCACCCAAAACGTATGTCCCGAAACCTCGGTACTCGCCCTCATCGTCTCCGATCGTACCCCCCTGGGGGTACACCATATATCTTCCTTACCTGCCACGCGCATTTAGCGCAGCCCCTCTCAAACAGGGGAAGAGGGAACGGATGCAAGGGGGAGGGAGAAGGATGAAGCACGAGAGACAAATAGCAGGAGGGGGGCTAGGAACAGAAAGCACGTGGCAGAACCAGACGGGCCCATCGGGCGGGCAGACCGGGTGTCGAGGGCGCGGCATCCGAACAGACTGCGAGGAAGTCCTGCGCGAGAGCGCGATTTGGGAATACTTTGTGAAGACATATCAGGCGGGAGCCGTTGTTGTTGTAGCGGGGGGCGCAACAAAGCTGAGCAGGAAGACTTGCCCTGATGAAAAACGGGGTGCAAGCCCAAAGGGGGACACTTCAGTTGAAAAACACGATGTGCACCAGCGGGGGGGATCAACAAACATTCTTCCTCAACTATGAAAGTTCAACGCGGAGTTAGCTACCGCGCGTGCCATCCGCATCACGATCCAAATAGAAAACGATGATGAAGAAGACCCGCAACCCCGAACGAGAGGGGTGAAGGTCGATGCTGCACTAGGCATCGCTGTAGCGCGCATGCCGAAGTAACGACCCATGATATTGATGTCATGATGCGACTGGCTCAGGATACGTTCCACGAATTTCAAAACATGTAGCGAAATCCTGTTTATGGGAACCACGCTGAAGAGCAGGATAACCTAGTGCACTCTTGGAACATATCATTCTTACTACCTCCTGGCCCTGGAGGCGGGAAAGAGGAGGGGGAGAAGTGCGAGGTGGAGGAGGAGGCGGGGAGGAGGAAGAGGGAGGGGGAAGGGGGAGGACGAGGAGGCGGCGAGGGAGGAGGAGTGAGGAGCTCCCGAGGCGGGCCTGGCCCATGGGCACCCTCGGGCGCGGAGGGCCCCTTCTAGAACAACGAACAACAGCATAAGCATCAACAACATTGCGTCAGCTCTGTAGAAATATAGCATAAACGTACCAGGACAGCCAAAACTCAGACTACAACGGATAACATCATAAAGACAAACTTTGGGCGCTCCGCGCGGACTTCTTGGATCGGCGCTGGACCCCCGGCCGTGGCGCGCGGCGCGCGGGGCGTGCCAGGGGCAGCGCAGGAGGCGCCACCACGGGGGGCCCAGCGCCGATCCCCGAAGTCCGCGCGGAGCTCCGAAAGCTCATGCCCGTGCACGTACTCGTCTCTTGTTCGACCTCCGGCTCCTGGCCCTCCCGCGGCGAGGGCGGCTCTTCTCCGCCCGCTGCCGGGTCCGGCGGCCCGCCGGCACCGCCGGGCATCTCCTTCGCGGAGGGCGAAGGCCGAGGCCCAGGTCGCGCCGCATCGCCGGCGCAGCGGCTATGCGGTGCGCTCTTCGGCCCTCGTCTGCTCTGGCCCCCTCGGGCCGGGCGTGGCCAGGAGCCCAGACCCCCTCGGGCCAGGAAGAGATCAGGACGAGAGGCTTTCCGCTCTCTTCGGCCACTGGGGGCCCTCACCCAGCCCCCGGACCGTCACTCAACCCGCGACTCCGGATGAAAAATCGGTCCCGGGGAATGGACCGAGACCTCTGGGGGCCGACGTCGTGAAAAAATCATGGCGTCGGGGGTCTGGGAGCGGCACTGGCCCAGGAAGCAGGGAGGCCTCCAGAGCTCCCAGGAGCGCCAGGATGGCGCGAGAAGCTGGGAGCACCCTGTGCCGGGATCACCTCTGGCAGCCTCGGACTTGTGGGGGCCTGGATCTGACACCCTTTGTGACCTTGGTCTGGATGTCCTCCTCATCGAGCTCCGCAGTTGTCTGCATGATCTCCCCGTAGAGCTCCGAAGCGTGCGGCGACTTACTCCTCCCTTGACCCTGCCCGAGCTCCGACACGTCGGGCAGCTTGAGGGAATCGGAGACGGAGCTGATGTCGGAGGCCATGAGAGCGGCGGTTGCTCCCGCGGTCCAGGGCGGCTCCGCAGGTCGAGACTCACGGAGCCGTTTGAGCCCAATTCGTCGCGTCGCCAAGCCTAGCCGCGGTCTCCCCAGGTCCCCCGGCGTCCTGAGGGAAGAACTACGACGACTGTCTTCCTTGAGCCGTGGGCCTCTGGAAGCCAATTTCGAGCCCCGGGACCATCAAGAGAAACTACCCGACGGAAAAAAGCCTGAGCCGGGGATGGAGTCGAGAGCTCCGGGGACCTACGTCGTGGAAAAAAACACGACGTCGGGTGTATTGGTAAGAACCTCCCAGAACCAATGAAGATAGTGCACTATTGTATTACTAAGTTACATGGTTCAAACGAAAAATAGATAACGCTATGATCGTATCATTTGCACCGAGAACGCTGAGTTGCCCTGAGGCAGGCACTACTCTCGGTGGACATGCACCTGTTGTTTCTTTGTCAGTCGGCCACCCGGCTTCACATGGATGGCTTCGAGCGCGCTGGCGACGTGAGAGATGGCCTGCCTTCTATAGGACAACGACTCCCCTTAACTAGCTGCTCGGTGCAGAGCCGCCCCACCCTGCCTCACGCACTCACTTCAGATGCGTGCCCACTGCCCCGCGCAGACTCGCCCGAAAACCGCCCACCAGAAATCAAGGCTTCCCTCCCCGATTCGCACCGAGCGAGCCCAGCTCGTCCCTTTCCTCCCGCTCCTTCTGCTGTCTGCTGTTTCTGCTGCTGCCAACGCCTGTTCTGGTGCTCTTTTACCCGGAGAGGTCAGGCTCCATGCTCCATGGTGTCCTCTGCCTCCGCTTTCGTTCGCTCTTCCTCCACCTCCTCCTCCTCCTCCTCCTCCTCCTCGTCCTTCTCCTCATCCTTATCCTCTGGCTGCTCGTATTGTTGTTCCGAGGCTGCATGCCTAGCATTACGGGATCGCAGCATGTGGTACTGTGAGTACTGAATTAGATATCACTGGGGCGAGGTGCTCCATGCACAAAGGTTCAGAGAAAATTGCATGGGGCTAGGAGTGAGAGCCAGGGTGGCTGAGTGCCACGGTGGCTCTAGAGGGAGCCTTTGGGCCTGTCTCGAACAAGGCGATCCGCCCGAAGACTGAGTCTCATTGACGCAGAGGATCGTACCAATGGACTCGGATGAGGGTGACCCCAAGGAGGCCCATGTTGTATCTCTCTCTCTCTCGCTCTCTCTCCCTGCCCCTCTCAGTCTCTCTTTCTCTATTTCTCTATATTTGGTTGGTTCTCTCTCTCTCTCTCTTTCTCTCTTCCTCTCTCTCTCTCTCTCTCTGTGGCCACCACCCGTGCGCACACTGAAGCGATTGCCTGACGTTGCCAGCAAATCGGTGCCGTTGAGCTGGCTGAGGCGTCACTGGACATGTTCTCCACCCCCTCGCCAAAAGCATGCGTAGTCAAGCACAATGGCACCCCTTGAGAACGAACTCATAGATTGCACTTTTCCGTCCTCAACAATCAGTCATCTGTTCTTCCTCCTTCGTACTCCCTCGCTCATACGTCATCCGTCTTCTTAAACGTCTCTTGAGTTCTGTCATCTATCCTCCCTCCTCTTCCCTCCACCTCCATTCCTTCTCGTCGTCCTCCTCCTCCTCCTGCTCCCTCGCCTCTCCTCCTCCTCCACCTCCCCCCCTTTGCGCCCTCCTTCAACTGAGCCCACTCCTTCCCCCCCTTCTTCACCCATCCTCCTCCTGCTCTTCCATCCCTTATCCTCACGAACAATTCCTCCCTGTCGCACCCCGAGACGTGTTGGTAGGGCGGGCCGGGCGTTTCGCCCGAGACTTCCTCACCATCTAAAGATCCTGCAGCTCAAGAGCTGCAAGAGCCTCACGGATGGAGGACCGTTTTCAAAATGTGGCTCTCGCCTTCGCGCAACGCGCATCCAGATTAAAAGCTGCAGCAATTTCACGGATGGAGGGCGGGTGCGTTTAAACATGTGGCTCCCGCCTCAGCATCGCGGACATACGTCTTACAACTTCGGAAGGATTTCACGGAAGGAGGGCGGATGGTTTTCAAAATGTGGCTCTCGCCTCAGCGCCGCGCAGATTCTATCTTAAGTTGCACACAAAAGCTCTACGGATGGAGAGCTTGCGGTTTTGAAATTGGAGCTCTCGCCCTTAGCGCCGCGCACATTCGTTTTCAAAACCTGTCAGGGTCTGGCTGACGGAAGGCGGCTTCTTTTCAAAAAGTGGTGTTCGCCTCAGCGCCGCGCACATTCGTCTCAAAGGTGCACAAGATCTTCACGGATGGAGGGCGGTTCCTTTTTAAAATGTGGTTCTCTCCTAGTACCGCGCACATTCATTCTCAAATACTCATAACAGTTCCAACGGATCGTATGGTTGACGTCTCAGGAACGGCATTCCACCACGGTCTAGGATTGTCAGGGCGCAACAGTCTCGTTGACTCGCGGCCTTGTAATCCGAGAGTGGTGTTCTGGCACGGTTCAGGATCGTCTGGACGCAGCAGTAACGTGGATTCGCGGCGCTTAAATCCCAGGGCTTTGACACGATCGAGGATTCTCAGACGATTGTCTTTTCAACGGGGCACTTCCCGCAGCGCAAATAAATACTGTAGGGATAGATGGAGAAAGAACTTGGAAAGAGGGAGCACTGCAACATCGATGATGCGTGCCGGGTAAACCTGGTCATCCTCCTCCTCCTCCTCATCATCATCATCACCATCATCATCATCGTCATCATCATCGTCATCATCATCATCATCATCATCATCATCATCATCATCATCATCATCGTCACCAGCGTCATCATCATCATCATCAACATCCCTCCCGCTGTGTGCGCTGCCGCCGTCGCCGTCGTCGTCCTCTGTCCCCCCCCCCAGGCGCGCACGCAGGGGGCGGGGGGAGGCATTGCCCTCGGCCACCGCCCATCAACCAGCCGTCGTCACCCTTGTCGCCCCGGCGTCGTCATCACCCTCGTCGCCACCCTCGTCGTCCTCGTCGTCTTCGTTGTCATCGTCGGCCAGCGTCGTCGTCGTAGGCAGGCGTCGTCGTCGTCGCCGTCGGCTGGCGACGTCCTCCCCGCCCCCCACGGCGGACTGGCCCGCCCTCGGCGCCTCCCGCGCCGCGATGGCAGCGTCGACGGCGGCGCCCCAGGCGAGGTGGCGGGCCAGGGCCGGCAGACCGAGCGGCGGGGGGCGAGGGCGCTTCTCTCCCTGCCATTCCCCTCCTCCAGACGGGGGGGGGGCCTGCAAGGCCAACATTTGCTTCAATTGAACGATGCGGTTTGCGTTGCTCCTGTTTTGGTGAATGGTTTTGTTAGCGGCGCTGCCGTTCCTTTCCTGTACTTTCTCTTTGCTGGTTCTCTGGGTTGTCTCTGGCTTGAAGTTTCTTACCCGGGGGGTGAATTTGAAACTACCTAGAAGCTACCGTCTGGGAGTTCCTGAACTTCCATAGGCCCGAAAAGAACAGGAACATTACCCCAGTGCGGCCCTACCTAAAAGTTGGAACCCCTAGGAAAGCAGCAATCGTTGCTATGCTATGCTATGCTATGCTATGCTGCGCTATGCCATGCTATGCCTTGCTATGCTATGCTAAGCTATGCTATGTCATGCTGCGCTGTGCTATGTTAAGCTATGGTATGGTATGCTATGATAAGCTGCGCTATGGTATGCTAGGCTTTGCTATGATATGTTATGGTATGCTATAATATGATGCGCGATGCTATGCTATGCTATGGCATGATTGGTTATGTTATGATATGCTATGCTATGCTAATGCAGCGCTGCGCTATGCTAAGCTAAGCTAAGCTAAGCTAACCCTCTAGGCAGAGCCTAGGAAGGGAATTACACCCATGCTAAGATGAAATAAGCTAAGCTAAGATGAGATAAGCGACGCTAAGCTAAGGGGATGTAACTGGGGGAACCGCGGGGCGGATACTGGGGGAACCGCCCGGGGCGAGCCCCACTGCCCGGCCCCTTTAAGCTAACAGAGTAAGAACCCTTCTGGGCAGAGCCTTGGTAGGGAATTATTGATCCCCCCTCTGGTAACATATGCATGTTTGAATTGAAGTGCCCTTCCATGGGCTCGCACATTTTTACCTAACAGCTTTTGCTGATAGGTTTCGAGTGGTCTCAAAAGAGAGCATCTTGACGCCCCAATGGGGTCTGGGCGGGATCCGGACAAGGAGCCAGACGGATCCGTCAGCCCCAGGAGTCCTGAGGAATCGAATTTTAAAGAATCCTTAGAAATCCATTCCCAGAACACCATTCCCAGGCCACATTTTGAATGCCCGGAGCCAACTGTAGGCCACTTCGTGTTCTTCGTGATCCCAGAACACCATTCCCAGGCCACATTTTGAATGCCTGGAGCCAACTGTGGGCCACTTCGTGTTCTTCGTGTTCCCAGAACACAATTCCCAGGCCACATTTTGAATGCCCGGAGACAACTGTAGGCCACTTCGTGTTCTTCGTGTTCCCAGAACACCATTCCCAGGCCACATTTTGAATGCCCGGAGCCAACTGTAGGCCACTTCGTGTTCTTCGCGTTCCCGGAACACCATTCCCAGGCCACATTTTGAATGCCTGGAGCCAGCTGTAGGCCACTTCGTGTTCTTCGTGGGATCGGAACACCATTGCTGTACCATATTTTGATTGCCCAGAGACAACTGTAGGCCACTTCGTGTTCTTCGTGTTCCCAGAACACCATTCCTGTGCAATATTTTGAATGCCCGAGCTGAGGCAGGCTGAGGCCGAGGCAGGCTGAGGCCGAGGCAGGCTGAGGCTGAGGCTGAGGCACCCCGAGGCAGGCTGAGGCTGAGGCTGAGGCAGGCTGAGGCTGAGGCAGGCTGAGGCTGAGGCTGACGCAGGCTGAGGCCGAGGCAGGCTGAAGCTGAGGCTGAGGCAGGCTGAGGCTGAGGCTGAGGCTGAGGCTGAGGCTGAGGCAGGCTGAGGCTGAGGGCTGAGGCTGAGGCTGCAGCAGGCTGAGGATGAGAGGC